AGACCCCAAACTTGATGAAAAACAAAAGCTTAGTGTCAAAATGTTTGTTATTAATTTTTATTATTTTATTAAATTTTTTAAATCCTTTCTGGCACGTTCGAAATTTTGGTTAAAAATCTTGTTTTTCTTCTTTTTCCAAAGATTAGTATGGGAAATTTAGCGTCTTTTTGCGGTAAAAAAACAAAAACAAAAACAAAAAACACTTCGTTTTGGAAATTCTTGCAAAAATCAAACAACTTTTGGAATTTTTTTTGGAATTTTCAGAGCTTTTTTACAAATGAATTAAATTATTTTTGAAATTTTTCTTTTAGAAAATCTAGGTAAAAATATTATGTTTTACATCTTCTATCTCCATTTATTTAACTTTATGGAATTTCGATAAATTAAAATTTACCCCACTTCATATTTATATTAGTTAAAAGCAGGAATCCTTACAGAATTTAAATCATCAATTTGTTTTTGCAAAAACAGAAGCATCATTGACTGAAAATCTGCTATGAATCGTAAAAAAAGAAAGAAAATGCAGTAACACTATGATATTATTTAATTAGAAAAGCTTTGAATTATTTTCATAAATAAGATATAATAAGGTCACTATTATCTTAAGAAACTCTTTTTTCGATGAATAATGAATTTAAAAAAAAATTATTACATTTTAAATCTTTTAAAATTCTGTATTAATCTCCTCCTTTTAAGTCATATTATTAAGTAAAAACTATATTTACTAATCATAAATGAAAAAGCTTAGTACAAATCTTCAAAAAGACAATATTTTAAAAAGAATTTTGAATTTTTTTGTATGTGCATAAATGTGACGACTTTTGTAGATACAGTTGACCATACATTATCAAAAAATAACTATCAATAACTATAGTAAATTTAAAGCCAGAAAGTATCTAAAATTCAATAAAAAATTAAATTTTGGGGAATATTTTAAATTTTTTTTAAAGATTACCGAGTATTTAAAAATTATATAAAAAAGATGCTCACGATATATTCAATTATTTTTTTTACGGCTAAAGCTCCCATAGAATAACAATAGATAAATGTCAATCTGTCATCAAACTGTCAAACACGTAAACAGGTTAAATAAACAGCTATCACTGTGTTAAAAATGCATTTCTGTGATATTTTAAACTTAAAGTAAATAATATTAGTTTTAAATCAGATTAATTATACTTTAAATCAGCTAATATTCTTCAATTTATTTTGGGGATATCATCTTCCAGCTTTCTCTTTCAGAAAAGAATATTTTATTTTTGGATGATTTTTTTAATAAAGAGAATTACATAGTGACAACTAAAAAAGGCGCTAATCAGCTATTTTAATACCCCCCAAAAAAAACAAAAACACCCCCCCAAAAAAAACCCTTACTTGTCATTTTAAATTAGTTTTTGAAATATTTTTATTTTTTGGTTATTGGAAATATTAAATTTAATCTATTAGCTTGAAATTAAAACTAAAATAAAAGTTTCTAGAAAGATTTTTCATTTTTAAGAATTCATTTTAAACTTTAGCCATCGCGTTTTCTGTGGTGGCACCTAAAATACATTCAAAAGTACAAGCAAAACACTCGATTTGTTGGTGTAATTGACTCAACATAACATACGCACTTATTCTTATTGTCCCAAGATGTTGATAATGGCAAAATGAAAAACATGTAAATGGAATTGACAGAATAAAATAGATACTAAAACGAACAGCGAAGAAAGATTTCTGACATTCAGAACATTAAAACAAATCTTTGACTGTAATGTTTTATTGTTTCATTTGGTAATTAAAGGTTTAAAATTGATAGCGCCTCCTCAGCAAGAGCACGGACTTATAAGCGGAAATACTTATATAAAAGGAGACTGGATAATCGACTTGATATTCGTTCGCATGTGTGAAGAAGAAAGACTTCCAAATAAAACCATAAAGAATCCTTTTGAGAGAATGGTTAACGTTCAACAAATGGATATAAAAAATTAATAAAAACGCAAGAGACATTTTTTGAAATCATTAATTTTTTTCAGTTTTAATGTTTGCTTATCAAAATTTACATTTATGTTTTTTTTTTCGCCATCAGCAGAAGCCAACAGAACTCTTTTGTTTTGAAGACAGATTTAGTCCTGTTTTAAACATTTCTGAAATGGTGCGAATTGCTTTTTTTTTTCTTTTTCAAATGATATTTTGTTTTGTTTTTTTCGTGTGTATAACAAAGAAAGAAGAGGAAAATATAAAGAGAAATGAACGTAATAATCAGCGGAATTATGGGAAACAAAGAAGAAGAAGAAGAAGAAGAAGAAGGTGGGCAAATAAGTATAAAAAACAATAAATTTAAGAAACAAAACTGATTAAAATATAGACAAGATATAAAGGATCATAATGGATTTGGGAAAAAAAATATGACTGGTCCTTGTCATGGTTGACTATGGAACTGACTGTAAAGGTACGATAGTTAGGAGTGGTTTGCTCATGATTTCGCCAACCCGCTCTGTCATGACATGCCAGTGACAAGACGTTTTCAAAAGAAGAATTATAGTAAAGTGAATGGAATATCTCAAGTGCATTTGTATGAAGCAAGCTTAGACAACCTTAGTTAGAACTCGAACCAGCTGCTTTCGTTTTTGTCGACAGGTAACGATGACACTATTAATAGTAAATGACTACAGTAAAATTTATGTTATTTGTAGATGCCGTTTTAATACAATGCTAAATCTTAATGAAGTGCCATAAAATTTTATATATATATATATATATATATATATATATATATATATAAAATCGAAAGCTTGGAACATGTTTATCGTATATCTCTTCTGAAACTTCGGAATATTGCTGACGGAATTTTCTCCTTGTCTGAGAAGGATTATTCGTAATTCGGAAAAGTTGACCAGTAAAATTAATTAACACAAATGTTTTTAATGATATCTGCCTTAACGAACATTTGCTGTCTAAAAATAGAAATTTAAATTTGCAGGTTACCAAGATAGCCATATTAAAAAATTTCGATGAAGTCTTGTCAAAAAGTAAATTCAACTTTCTAACAACAGCACCAAACACACACACACACACACACACACACACACACACACACACACACACACACACACACACACACACATATATATATATATGATATATTTATAGACTAAAGTGCTCAATATCAAGGATAGAGCGTATATAAATATAAAAGTAGACATTGAAGTCAACAACTAGCGAAGGCAGTCTGTTTCATGCTTAAACGCAACCTTAAACGCCACCCCCCATATATATATATATATATATATATATATATATATATATATATATATATATATATAATCAAATAACATTTTATGGTATGCTATATTTATGGATTAAAGTGCTCAGTATCAGTAAATGTAAATATAAAAGTGGACATTGGAGTCAACACCCAGCGGCGACAGTCTGCTCCATGCTGATACACAATTGTCAGACCATATGCAGATGGCCTGAAGATTGCTTGTAAGCATAAAACAGACTGTCGCCGCCTGGGTTAACGTGCTTGAGTAGGTAATTGTTTCAAGATATGCATATGCCATTAACTCAATTCTTTTGTTTAACACACACACGCACACATATCTATATATAGATGACAATAGTAACTATCACTGCTCAAGTAATATCGTTTATTTTTATTGTTTATTTTTTCAATTTTACTATTTTTATCTATTTTTCATATGAAAATGGACTACTGAATTATCTTAGAGAAATAAATAAAGTGTTAAGACTGATAAATTTAGTTTACGCCTAATGATTGCCATGTGCTTAAGCAGTATTGAACAATGAAGAATAGCTGTATATTTCTGTTTAATTTACATTTGGTTTATGCCTGATGATTGCCATGTGCATAAAACTTTAAGCAGTAATGAACGGCGAAGAACAGCTGTATATTTTTAAATATACATTTTGATCTGTTACTTGACACTATTTTTTCATTACCAGCACTCACTATGCTCTCTCTCTCTCTCTCTCTCTCTCTCTCTATATATATATATATATATATATATATATATATATGAAGTGTAAATTTTAAATTCATTTTTCGTTTCACCTTTTGAAAGTGAAGTCTGTAGATCCAGAGAAAAATAAAATTCTCTGGTGAAATAAATTATTACAAATGGAGCCTTAAAGTGGTCTGTTTTTCTTTAAATTAAATTCTTCGCTCTGAATTAACATTGACTTCTCAGGATTTCATCCTCCTTGGGATTATCCATACGGATTACCAAGATTTTCGTTACTTATATATATATATATATAATGAAATGGACTATGCCCGACAATAATTTTATATTTATTGCTTTACGTTATTTTTTTTTATAGATGCAAATATTTAAGTAAATGCTCTGTTTATAAAAATAAACAGTATTAACAACATTTACCGGCCTGAATGTCCGAGAAATTTCATATGTCCTCCGACAGGAATCGAACTTGTACACGGAACCGTTATATAGCCTCACGTGCTATACCATTTAGCCACAGAGGAATCGTCTGGTTAGCAAGATCGAGTATATAATGAAAATTTCATGAACTGACAAGGAAAATAATTTCGAAAAACGTTTATGCTGGGACATTTATTTAGATTTCGGGAAATGTGTCTGAACGAGAACTTTTCGTATCGGTCGTATATATATATATATATATAGGAAATATGTTGTAGTGGTTCCAACGAGAGAAAAGTATGTATATTAAAAAGAAGAGATTGCCGCAAACGTTTTTTAGACCAGTAATGTGGATTTATTGAGAAAAATATTATACTTTGTTTTTACATAATTTCACGACACGTGTTTACCAGACCAAAACACGTGTCGTTTATGTAAAAATAAAATATAATATTTTTCTCAAAAATCTTTTATATATATATATATATATATATATATATATATATATATATATATATATATATATTCTAAAGTTTCTTATATTTATGGGCCAACAGTACTCGGTATCAGAGATATTTTATCGCTTGAAGTGTGAAACTAACAGAGATCACACAGTGTTCATTTCTGTACCAAAATTGGTTCTATTTATCTATATATCTTTCTATCTCCGACTTTACATTATCTATCTATCTATCTATCTATCTATCTATCTATCTATCTAATGAATGAAATACATGGTAATATATTATTTAGATCTTTTCTAAAATATTATTATCTTTTCAGTTATTGTTTTTATGAGGGGTGCTGAAAATTTCCCCTCTCCGACCAAGTGTGTTTTCAAACAAATATTTGAACAGTTGGTTAAATTTTGGAGAAAGCTGATCGGGCTGAGAACCTTTCAGTAAATCCTTATATGTATACCCGAAGTAAATATTTGATTGATGATGTCAAACATCATTAAACAAATTGATGGATTTTTTCTATTCGGCTTTTTTTTCTCGTTTTCTTTGGGTTTATTTTTTTCACTTTTTAAACCCCAGAAATGTTTTATTGAAAATAATAACATTGAAAAAAATCACCAGAAAAAAAATGCTACAAGTAAATGTAAAGACAAAAATTGAAATTCCCGCTAACTTGCTCAACACGGCGCCATCTTTGATTTTCTGCTTGTTGGGTTTTTAAATTAAAAAAGAAAAAAGAATTAAACCTAAGTATAACGATTTTATTTCTGAGCATTTGTTTTTCTTTCTCTGTTTTGGAATTTTTCTTATTTATAATAGATATTTAGTAAGCTTAACTTAATTGTAGACGGTATCTAGCAACTTTCCTACGCAGTCACATTTGGCACAAGGCTGAATTTAATGTGGGGTTCCGGAGTCCGTAGGCTCGGTCAGAAAACGGCGTCGGTTCTGTCTGCCTCCCCGGACGAGACTCTGCCCTTCGGCAGAGCATCGACCGGGTTCCTCTCTGCCCGAAGGCAGAGAGTTTGACCAACACAGCTGGAAAAGATTCTATCTAGACTCAATAGGAAACTTAATTGTAGACAAAGCTTCTATAATGAAGGCTCCGAGAAAGATAGAATTTATTTGATACGGCCTGTGAGAGTAACTCTTCGGCCGGCAGCATGACATTTATATGCAAATGTACGTGTGTTGAATTTGTAAAAATGTTATTTGTTTGTCCGTATAAATCAGTGTTTCTCAACCATTTTACTCTTGCATAACCCTTAAAATAAATTTTATGTCTCAAGGGACCCCTGCGCAAAAACAAAAATATATATAATTTTATTTTCATCGTAGTTCACGTGGTAAATATTATAGGGTATATTTTTGAATAACTGGTTTAAGGAAAAATTAATACTTCTTTGTCAATTTTTTCGGTAATACTAAATAAAATTCATACTCTTCGTTTCTGATACTTCATTCATAGAAAAAAAAAATTATCTCACCTGTTCTAATTAGCTAATCTCACCTGTTCTCATTAGCTAATCTCACCTGTTCTCGCGGCACCCTTGGGGACCTTTTGCGGAACCTTAGGGTTTCGGGGAACCCCGGTTGAGAAACGCTGGTATAAAGGAACATTTTTTGTTTCTTCAACACTCACAAAGCCAATCTGTGGTCTATACCAGGAATCCGTAACCTTTTTCTAACTATGTGCAGACTTAGGGGTTTAAAATCATTCAGTGTGCCAATATAATAAGGATAAGATCAATATACCTGTTCTATAATAAAGATAAGATCAATATACCTGTTCTACAACAAGGTTACGGTCAATATCCCTGCTCAACAATATATATTATATAGCAATATATGCAATAATATTTAAACCACGTTAATAGAAATAAACTGTTTTTAAAAGTATTTTTTAAATTTTTATTATTAATGGGAGCCTTGCCTTTGCATAGTGTTAGCATTAATAAAAGATTCACCTTCATAGAAAGGTTTCCTTGTCTATTTGTGTCATTATTAGCGGTGCCCTTGGGGAGAGAAACAAGCAGGGAGACCAACGAGTGAGCAGCTTTGAAACTGTTAAATATCTTCTTTGTGTTGTAGTAGTTATTGATTCGGACTTCGTGATGTCATTTGCGGCTGCTTGCCATTGGTAATTACTTGGCGTGTCACGTGTGGCACGTGTGCTGTAGGTTGCCGACCCTCTGGCTTTTACTGCAAATAGGCTTAAGACACAGTTTCTCCAAGGAAGCGTATAAATAGGTGTGACCAGTAGTAGAACAAGTTCAGTACGTTCAAAACCTCGGTCACGATGACTTGTGACTTTGTGCTTGGACAACTATCGACGTCTTCCGAAGAGTTTCGTAAAAACAATTTCATTCCTAATGCTTCTATCAACCCCCGTGGTACGTTTTTTTTTATGGTAGCGCACATTGGAATTGTTCCCCAGGCCGAATGATTAGAACGCTTGTGTTTCGAGCAGGATAGTCCAGTTTGAATTTCAATATACATGATATATATATATATATATATATATATATATATATATGTGTGTGTGTGTGTGTGTGTGTGTGTGTGCGTGTGTGTAGCCATTTTTTATTAGAGGCTTTGTTTTTTTTTCTTTTAACAGTGTGAGTTGCATCTACCGGCTTGCGCATTCACACTCTTAAAAAAACAAAGCAAAAATCAAAACAAAAATTAAAACAACGAAGCAAAAAAGAGGGCGTCTACTCATATGTATCCGCAAAAATAACGTTTAGAATAATGAGAGATAATGTCGGATTTGAAATAAATCTATTAATACCTGCAAAGTCGATATATATATATATATATATATATATATATATATATATATATATTGAAAAAATGAGGAAATCGTGCGATCACGCTACCTTTTGGTATCTTCAAGCCAAGCGAGGTGTAATGTAATAAAGCGTTAAGAAATTATTTAGCCAAGATTGCCTGAAGATTATAAAAGTTTGAAACCAAGCTAGCGTGATAGGTTAATCGGGTATCGTTTTTTTCAATTTTAAAAGCCCCGCATGTTAAATGTTTATTTTCTTTTATTTTCTTTATACGTATATTGAGCACGTTTTAATACTACTGTTTCCTGCTCTAATTCAACTCTGACCAAATCTTTTTATAATTACCTCTCTCTCTCTCTCTCTCTCTCTCCATCCATCTCTCTCTTTTTCACTCTCTCTCTCTCTCTATATATATATATATATATATATATATATATATATCAATAATAATAAAATTATTAGTAATCCGTATAGAATTTCCTAGAGGAAATAGGTCCATTGAGAGCTCTGTGTCAAAAGACAGACCAATAATAATAATAATAATAATAATATATATATATATATATATCTACTAAGTCAGTTTTTATGTTAATGTTTAAAATGTTGCTAAAGTTTTCAATATATATTTATATGACCAATATGTTGAGTGAGTTTCAGTGTATAATCTTCTTCCATATGTCGTGTCCCTTCTGGCCGTGGACGGTGATGCCTCTCCACAACTTGTGTTTACTTTTTTGCTATCTCCACTAATCCCTGTTCTGCCACACATTTGCACAAGCTCGTTCAGTAGGTTCTTCTCTGCTTTCTTATGTTCCTCTTGCCTTCAGCATGTCCTGAGAGTGTCAGATTTGCCAAGCCCCCTTTCCTCATGATGTGCGCTATAAATTTCCACTGTCTTTGATTCTAAGAATCAGTTTCCTTTTGTTTCCAGTTTCTTTAAAACTTCGTCGTTGATCACAGGTTCAGTTCATGGATTTTTTTTCCTGCATCCTTTTAACGGACCACATTTCTCTTGCCTCACATCTCTTCTTCATCTCTGAGGGCATTGGCCAACATCCACTGGTCATATATAGGAAGACTGATATTTACATAACAGTCCAGCACTCAGTGTATAATATTTCTCCTTATTTAAAAGTTTTGTTTCAGCATTGCCGCGTTATATTATGCAAAATAAAGTAAAGGCAAATAAAGCCTGGTTTTTTCTAATGTACTTTCTAATGTCTAGGGTTTCTCTAGATTTTCAACAAAATCCAAAGAAGGATCTGCAATATAATCGATCCTGACCTGGCATCTCGACCTCAGTCACTTTCTCATCGACGTGACGCGGCTTCCCTCTGTCTTTTCTGATTTTTGCCTAGTGTTCGGACGACATTTAATTTAAGTTTAGCTCTACAGTTCTTTAGTTCTACAGGTCTCGCCATTTTACAGCTGGACTTGCTAAATACAATCGCCACTTCTACTCTACAATAGTTTCTTTTCTCGCACTTCACACCTGTGGAACACCATTCCGATTTCTGGCTTCCCTGCCAACTACAATCTTCAAAAATCTAAATGCAACGTCAATCGCCATCTTCTGTCTTCTTGAACACCGTTCCTTTTGGGCCTTTCCTCAATCCTCCCCATTCTTATACTTTTCATCCTTTTTCACGGTTACCCCCCTGTAACGCCCTGCGTCTTAGTGGCTTTATCACCTTGCTTGGTATGAAAGGCTTGAAAAGCAATCCAACAAAAAAGATCTATGATTAATATAGACTTGAATAAATTATTCTTTTACATAAAACCTTCTGAACGATCTATAACATTCACCGGGGGGGGGGGCAACTGGGAGTGGTTAACAAGCTTGTCTTGCTGGAACAATTACGACTGAGTAGTGAGCTCGATACTCACAGGGTGCCTCATGCTTTTGGCCTTGTGCCACATCTAAGCTATGCTTAGAAAATCACTATAACTTTCATCGTTTTTTTTATTCTTTTCGACGTTGCATTTTTTTTCATTGCTTTCCAAAGATCTTGAATATTTTTATACATTCTCGTATAACAATGAGAGATCCCGTTTTTAATGAGGGATCCCGTTTTCTATTGGATTAATATCCGGGCAATCTGGGAAACATTCCATTCATTTGACGTCTTTAAATTTAACAGTTTTCGGCAAAGTATGTAATGGTAAACTTTGCAGAATGCGAACGGATATTGCAATTGTTTATACGAATATATTATTGAGCACAAAGTTTCTAAGTTGCGACCTGTACAATTCAAGGTACGCCTGGCTTAAGAACTTACAATAGTACCTTACAAGAAATGACCTTTGAGAAATCAGTTTTCATGTATTTCTTCGCTCGAATTACAGCGTTTCGCTTTGAAAGATTTAAAAAAAAATGTTTTTGTTTGGTTACTTTCATATCTAATAGTCCCAATATTCTGCAGCTTTTCTCTCACTCATCGTAGCACCAGCATTTTCAAATAATTTCTTTATAGTCGATTCACTTTTTCTTTCATATTACTCTATTAATTTTTCTAAAACCTCTTCAAAGCTTTTTCTTTATTAATATCTTACCAAATCCTTTCACTATCTCTTTTTCCAATCGTTCTGTGATCTCTGTTAATCTATTTCGTAATTTCCAACATTACATTACATTTATTCAATAACTTTAAAAAAAAGTTTCTCTTTTGAGATGATGTGTTTTTTTTGGGTGGTAGTATGTCAACATCTATCTATCTATCTATCTATCTATCTATCTATCTATCTATCTATCTATCTATCTCCCGGGAAATCCGGCTGAGCTCTCGAGAGAAAAGAGTTTTTAAAAACATCAGCTACTACTTCTATTAATGCATTACTCTTCAAGTACGAATTGAGTTCTCCGAGCCAATGGCGTATTTCGTATAGGAAAAACGTTAAATTTTCCCTTTCTCTCTTCTGTGCGACGATAGTCTAGGGGTAGAATCTATCAATGGTGTCAAATCAGTCGAGTTTCGATCCCGTCTTGAAGCAATTGGGCGTCTAGCCACACTGAAGAGCTGTGATACAGTGAAACAGTCTGTCTGTGGATGACAATATATATATATATATATATATATATATATATATACGTATGGAACCGTCATATAAACTGATGTGCTATACCATTTAGCTACAGAGGAAGCGGTCTGGTTAGCAAGATTTAATTACTGATGACCAGACCCTTCCTCTGTAGCTAAATGGTATAGCACATCAGGTTATATGACGATTCTGTGTTGGAGGACACATATTTTCTTTGAGATCTCGGATATTCAGACATGTAAATGCTGTTAATATTGTTTATTATAAACAGAGCATTTACTTAAATGTTTGTATCTATAAAAATAACATATAAACAAAAAATATATTTAAATAATAGTCCATTTCATAATATATGTTGTTGTTTGTTTACATTAAGATACGCTTCGAGTAGATATGAGCGTTCGAGAGAAATCATGGTAATTTTTGTAGGTTAAAAACAGTAATCTGACCTTGTTAAACAGACGCTTCCTCTGTAGATAAATGGTATAGCACGTCAGGCTATATGACAGTTTCCTTGTAGGATACAAGTTCGTTTCCTGTCGGGGGACGCATATTGTATTTGAGATTTCTCGGACATTCAGGCCGGCAAATGTTGTTAATACTGTTTATTATAAACAGAGCATTTACTTAAATATTTGTATCTATAAAAATAACGTATAAACGATAAATATATAAGAATAATTGTTGGAATTAGTTCATTTCATAATATATGATGTCGCTTATATATTTTTTTATTTAATGAACAGTGTGTATTTCGAATACGATGGCGCGTCTATTTCAAATATCCTTTATAATAACATTTGAAGTAATATATATATATATATATATATATATATATATATATATATATATATAATGGCTTTCCGTCGGTTTCGACGTATGAGGATCTGATAGCTTATTGATTCAGTTATGAAATTTTGTGCGATAATCTTAAGTGGCATTTAAGACCCGCTAGTGATTTACAAAGGAGGCCACACGTGGAGCAAGTATGAGGATTGTGAGATGAGATCACTGTTAGATTGGCTGACCTTTTAGATCGTGCTCTCGCTTCTTGAAGATGATTCAGACAAGCAGATTAAAAATTGCTGAGTCCACGAAAACACGTTGATCTCCATTCTACCCGCGCCAAAGCTAAGCGCTCAAGGGTGTTACGTGATATATATATATATATATATATATATATATATATATATACCTAAAAGCCAGAACCTATCTACCTGCCGGATAATTCTGATGCGGATCATCAGTATAAGCCAGAATTATCCTGGTGATTCGTTAGGTGAAACTTAGGTAGATAGCTTCTGGTTCTTTAGGTATTTTAATTTTACTCTGCTTCGTGTATTGAGCACTTTTTGTTCAACTTAGGTACTCTGTCGGCGTTTTTTTTTCTTCTTTTGGCTAGACATTGCGTTGCTGGTTGTTTTCTTTCATATGTAATTTTTCCCAAATATCAGTTTGTTTAATATCTCATTTTTGAAAATTGTATTATCTGTTTATTTTTGTTCTCACATCGCCAGAGTTATAGTTTTAAAATAAAATGAAATTTATATATAAATATATATATATATATATATATATATATATATATATATATATATATATATATATATATATATATATATATATAAGAGGCACGGTGGAGTAGTGGATACTGGCTCGGATTGAGGAATCGGAGAGCCGAGTTCGAATTCCACGTGTTTGGGAAATCCTCCTTCCAGCCATGGGTAAATAGCAGGACAGACTGCAGCCCAAACCCACTAAAAGAAATAATGTTTATAGTTATAATAATCGGAAAATATGATGAAATTGTCGATCATATTATCTCCAGATGTCCGGAACTGGCAAAAAATGAATATACGCACATATGTGCAATGGAAGATATGCTAGAAACACCGAGGGATGGTGTGACCACCAACCAGACCCAGTTACCCAAAATAACGATGTAACTATCCTCTGGGACATGCCACTTCAAACTGACAAGGAAATAAAAGACAATAGATCTGATATTATTATATAAGAGAAGAAATTCAGGAAGCGTATTCTTATTGACATAGCAGTACCATTTGAGAGAAACACCTCTATGAAAGTTATCGAGAAATAGTCCAAATACAAAGACCCGGAGATCGAGATTAACAGGATGTGGGGAATGAGGACTGAGGCTGTACCAATAGTAATCAGAGCACTGGGCCTCGTGAGAAAGTGAATGGACAGTTTTCCTAACAGTGTTCCGGGTAACATCAACAAAAAGTTACCCAGAAGATCGCCTAGGAACATCTCATATACTAACAAAAGTGCTATCAATTAAATGACAATTCTCCTATAGGGCCTAAGAACCATAGTTTGCACCCGGCTCTACAGTATATAAAGCAGGAAACATAACATAAACAAATAATAATAATAATAATAATAATAATAATAATATATATATATATATATATATATTACCTCAAACACTGCTTTAATGGATACACGTATTTGTGTGGAAAAATACGTGAATTTTTAAACAATGTGTATTACGTCTACCGGCCTGCGCACTCGAGAAAACTTAATAAAGGAAATGTGCCCTTCTGCTGGGGTTCAAATCTGCGTCACGCCCGTTGTAGGGGTGACGTAACCTACCTGCGGCCACATTTTCTTTAAATTGCGTCCAACTTTAATATGCACGGCCCTAAAATTTGCATTCAAGATTAAAACCTACTGTCGCCATTCGGCGTTGAACACTGTGTACATACTGCTTATATTTACTTACATATATCTCTGTCCCTGATATTGGGCACTTTTATCCTATAAATATTGTTTACCTTTCTACTATATTTTGTCAAACACAAACTCTCTCACACCTCACACACACACACACACACACACACACACACACACACACACACATATATATATATATATATATATATATGAATAAAGACAAAAGGAAAACTTATCTTAGCCGACGCGTTTCGTCCTCTTAAATTCCCTAAGAGGACGAAACGCATCGTTTAAGGCAAATTTTCCTTTTGTCTTTATAAATATTGTCCTTTTACATATATATATATATATATATATGATATGTCCCAGAAAGGGATATATTTGAACGAAGTGGTTTTGGCTACTATAACCAAGTAGAATATGGTAGCAGTAATCGACTGGTACGCGTCGTAGTCGCAGATAAGAAGTGTAGATCAATGGCGTAATCCAATGGGCGTCGTTATAGACTTAGCTCTCAGACAAAGGCTCTTTGACTCTCCTACACGTCCGTCTGTATTTATGACGGACACCAGTCAATTATATTCCAGTGAGGGGGAACACAGGGGTATGCATATCCCATTGTATCATATTCTATCTGAAAGTTTTACACACACACACACACACACACGCACACACACACACACACACATATATATATATATATATGAATAAAGAAAAAACGGAACCTTATCTTAGCCGACGCGTTTCTTCCTCTGAGGGACTTTATCAAAGTAAATGAAAGGATTTTGTAAGAATCTTGTTACAAAATAAAATTCTTGGTTTTGCGTTTATTTCATTCATCCTCGTAATATCTGCATTGGAACATACTTCAATAATGTCTTTCTATAGATAAATCGAGTAGTGTGTAAACTGACACTATATTATTTTTCTTGATAAAGCAAGGCTTTCCTTTCTACCTTATTTCATTATGAGTTTAATTCATTATGAATTTTAACAGGACGTTCAGAGTTTTATTCTAAATGTCTTTATAGCCCGAAATTAAGTTCAGTCAAAAGAGAAAGTCACACTCTCCCGCTCAATAATATCAGTGTTGCTGGCACCCGCACACACCCGAGCATTGGGTTCGTCATCCCCACTCTCCCTATTTTCCTTCTCTTCCCTGGGGTAGCGAGTGGCGGAGATGGCTGTGGATCAAAGAGAGTTTGTCGAGGCCAGGTGAATTTGATTTTGGTGGACAACTCTACGCAAACCTCACACTTGGCCAGAAACGCCTCCCTCGCGGCTAAAAAGCGATTGAGACAGGCACGACCTAGCACACCTCGTTGCATTGGGCTGTCGGATGCTTCTTAATAATAATAATAATAATATTTCCCTTGGCTTCTGATTTAAATTGGAGGTACTAAGATATATATATTGGTGAATTAAGATGGAGGACACTAAATATCCCATTTAGTAGAACAGATTTGTTTGTCTTTTTTTCTGACCAGTTGGGTGTGTTCCCTCGAGGCCGACATACTGTGCATCTTCGTTGACGAGCAGAATTAAAGCGAGAACATCTTGGAGTGAATTGCGTTTCTTACGGGGCCCCACCTAAAATGTTACGCGATGCTCTTATCAAAACCTGCCACCATATTGCGCACATTTGGCTGTGACGCCCGTGTCTGGTATCCACCTGTCATGTTAGGAAGGACATTGCAACCAGATCATAAATGACAGCAGAAAGTTGACTCAAAGCGAATGCAAAAAACCAGACCGTCTTAGGGTAGGGGAAAGTCAGGAATTTTTAGATCCAGACACCCACGCAATCGAATCATGATGACCGGCTATCGTAGTTGTGAAAAAAAAAAAATGAAAAAAAGAAAAAGAAAAAAGTCTGCCATATCGTAAATGTTGGAGAGAAAATATAACAAAATTAGTAAAATATCAGGATCTCGCCAGGGAGCTCTCAAATGTGACATTTGGGTCGTATTAACTAGATCACTTGGGATCTGCATATATACTGAGAAAGGTGCTGGAAATTTAAGAAAGCCTGCTGTCAAC